ATTGTAATTTTAAAACTTGACTTAAATAAAAAAAATGAGGCATTCATCTCGACCTTCGGCTGACTAAAAAAAAAAGATGAAGGCGATTCGAAATCTTGACTGAGCCGATTCCAATAATCCACTATTCGATCCGATTCGAAATGCCCATCCTTAAGTCTGAATTTGTGACGGCTAATCTTGATTTGCGTTTAAAAGTAGACCATTGTCCACATTTTATCATATGCCCATCATCTAACCCAGTGTTTAATAAATAGGGTAAGCAATAAAGAAGGTGTCCAAATAATTTCGCATGATTTTATAGTAATAACAATTGTTAGTTTGAATGAATTTTATTGTATGATAAATGAGAACTACAAGCGCAACAAGAACTATTAATAAATAAAGACAAAGAAAATTTTAATTGTTTGGATACCCAGTAGTACACGATAAGGCAAGCTATCAATCGAGATTCAAGCTTTTTCTTTTGATGTAGTTAGTTAATTTTATCTGCATAAATAAAATCTAAATAAAGACGAACATTGGCAAATTTGTGACGTCTTTTTGTCTAGAATGTGAACCGCTAACAAACAACACGGAGGTGGACAAAATATTGTATGACATTCCGTTTCTCTCCCACCAAACAAGTGTATGCACAATCCATTTTCACGATTTTGAAATATTTCTTTTAAAAGATTTAATAAGGAAAGATATTTTCTGTTACATTGCGAATTGCTGCACAGTAAATCTTCCATTATTTTTATGCGCATGTCACCCGACTCTAATTGCAATATCTATTTCAATTTCAGAATTTATTTTTCGGTTTAATTTTTGGCTACCTAATTAAACATTCATATTTTCCTTATAGGCTCAAAATTTATTTCTAAAATTAAGATGAAAACGCAAAAAACGGGAAGAAATTAATTTCACGTAATCAATAAAAGCCAGACTAATTAAACATTTGGTTTTTAGATTGGCATCTGACCTTTTATATAATGATTTTAAATGCGAACGCTTTCGCAGCCGACTGTTGAAAATGTAGGTTAATTTATTTTCTTTTAACACTCTCATTTTAAGCGTCGGAGTTATAAACACAGCTCGGGTCGATGTACTCGTTCAAATCCAGATTTTTTTTCTATGCGACTTGATATTGAGCGATTTTAAATTAAATAATCGCCCCGTGGGTTTGTAGGTTTTCCTTATATTTTGTTCAATGATAATTACTGAAGACATCTTCACGAAATGATCAGGATACCTCAAATTTTTGGGTACCTCCCATAGGAGTTTCATAAAAAATATCAGATGTTTCCATTCGATCTCCCAACTATAATTTTTATTAATAGAATCGACCCAGCACAAGAGAACACGCACTCACTCAGAAGCAAAGAATACTGATATCTTAGCAAAGTCAAGGGCGGTCCAGTGCGGGATTTAACGTTAGTCTAGGTATGCTGAAGGTTTGAGGCCCCGACGTTTAATTTTTAAATTGTAAAGGCTTACTCCAAAATGAAACCGGTTTAAAATTTCATAAAAATGATAATTGTTAACGTTTCGCGAAATTTACCAATTTATTCATGATGCTCTGTCAAATTTATCACATACACGTCATAATGGATTATTTGTGACGTCATTGTTCGAGGAGCCTGGCAAATGGCATAGCCAAGGACCTCTCATTGTCTAAAATTTAGACCCTAAATCAGATCTTGTGGCGACATCTAGAGCAGGGCAACTCAACTATTTTTACCGAAGATCAGCATAAAAAATTTCAAAAATATTTGGGTCTAGATATTATATTTCGACATCCTTAAACACGCACTTCCTCGGCCGACTAATGATTATTACATAATCAAGATTGTTTATTATGATAGTTCTTTTCATTTATATTTAAATCTATACGAGTGATTTTATAAAAGAAAACTTCAAAAGTGGGGCTTATGATCCAAAATAAAGAATTAGGTGCGGTCCGAATCGAATACCCGAAATGTCCGGATTCGGACCGCGGTCCGCCAGTTGAGTAGCCTTGTTCTAGATTACCATCCACTACAATCAAACTATTTCAATGACTCTAGCTATCTTCAATAGGTTTGTGGCTCATCTGAAAATGTTCCCGTGACCCAGAAGTGGCTGTGGCCCACTGCTTGAGAACCAGTGTACTAGATCAGGGTTTTCCTAACCGGGGTCCGTGACAACTGCAGAGGGAGTCCACAACGATATGAAAAAAGTCTGATCGATATTTAATGATTCATATTTTTGGTTGAGCGTTGCGGACAAATATCCATTGCTGCCAGAAAAGGCAATTAAAATCCTTTTGCAACGACCTACATTCGTAAAGCAGCATTTTAACTCTTATAAATATGATTACAAAATGCAGGTCGAGACTTGTCGTCCGATCTATAGGTTTGCTTGTCACAAATTGCTCCGAAAATCGAAATATTGTGCAGTGAAAAGCAACCCAATTCATCACATTAATGTCGTTTGTGTTGTGGATGAAACATTATCTTTACTCGTTGGTTAAGCACTGAAATTAATACGGCAAAGCGCGTGTCAAAATTAGAATTCTTAAATAGGCGTCCGCGGCCCAAAAAGTTTGGGAAACTCTGTACTAGATAGTGTATCTAACACTGCCAGGAATAAAACCACGGCGGGTCATGGTGCATCGTTTTTGTAGTGTTTATTTACTAAGAATAAACAATTGAATAAAAGATCAGTGCTCAAATGTATGGAAACGAAGTAGGTATGTAATCTGCCACAGTAGTCTACCGTAGTACCGTACCACAGCTGACCAGCAAAAATCAAATTACGCGAAAGAGGAATCGCCACAAGAAACGTAATTTTTAAATGTGATAACGTGATCGCACACAAAAATTTCAAAGCGATTGGTCCAGTGGTTAAAAAAGCGATTTTTTACAACAAAAAGAAGAAAAAGAAATTAACAGGATCGACAACACTATAATAACGAGAATATCGGTCAGAGACTGAAGACTTATCGATCGAAAGTTGGGGGAACCCCGAAACAGCGCTCTTACTCCATAGTGACACCTTGTGTCCTATCACCACTAATTAATTAATAACTTCGTGAGATATCGCGTGCATCTAACAGACAGACAGACAAATACCTATTAGCATACTTACCGATTAAAATCGATAAGTAACAAAGAGATCCATATGTACATTCCGTGTCCACACACGAATTAAATAAATCTTTAGGACAGTGGCGGGTAAGGTTTTTGAACCAGGGGCCAACAATTTCACGCACCTCGACTGGCGAGCCATGTAAGTGTGACGTAAAAGTTACATTTTATTAATATGAAGTGTCACAATAGAAAAAGTGGAAATCAACAAAACCTCATGCTAAAACTAAATTTATTAGAAATCTCAACAAATCCGTTGGGCCATTCTTTAGCTAAAACATTAAAATTTGGTTTTAGTTTATTAGTAGCAGCATCAGGCGGGCCAGATTGAATTACCCAGCTGGCCGGATTTGGTCTGCGGGCCGTAGTTTGCCCATGTCAGCTTTTGGAGTTTGTCAGCGCAAGACAATTCGGCGTGACCTCGCCATCTAGCGGTGATTCACGAATACTATAGTTTAGCAAACGGCGGGCTTTTCTAATTTTCAAATCGCGGTCAGTTGTTGTTGAGTTATGGCGAATTTTCTTTCCAATGTTGCAGTGTTTCACGTTATATGGCCGTGACTTGAAGCTTGTGGACTCTGATATCTATAAATTTTGAATCGAAGTTTTTTGGAAATGTATTTTCTCTTGTATTTGGATGGTTTACAATCAGCTATGTTTACCCATTTTAAGCAACAGATGTGTTGTTTACCTGTTCTTGGTCGATTTTACGTAGATTGGTCGGTCCGAACATTCTAGAAACCTGCTTTGGGTGATTATCAGGGTAATCAACGCTGAGTCCGCGTCGGTTTGGAAAGTGTCAGTCAGACAGCAGTGCGTGAGTTGTCAACAGATTTTATGTCGCAAAAGTGTGCATTCTTACTTGTGGCAATTTTAAGGCGGGTGTATCAGTATATGGAGGTAAATACTGAAGATATCTCGCATTGAATACAAGCAAGCAATGTTAAGATAGATCAGTATTTTTATGGCAATATGTGTTACAGAGATACCTTAGCTTACTTAGTTCAGTGGTGAGTATTGAAAACTTTGATTTTGGCGTATGGTTGAAAAGACTGATCTTTTGTACAAAGCCCCCTTTAACTCTCAAAATAAGAAAATTAGTATTTTTTCAGTTAGCGTTTGGGTTAGAAATGCAGGTTGCGCTGGAAATTCAAAATATTAAATTATTCCTAACCCTAATTACAACTGGACAATCACTAAGTTGTTATTTTTGAAAAACGTGGCGGGGGTGATTTGCTCAAATCTTACTTACACTTGCATTAGAGGCGGGGGCTTTGTACAAAAGACTTACGCGAAGGCAAAACAAGCTTCGTTGATGACAGTGTACTGTAGACTGACTTACAGTACTTCACTACGGCAACAGTAGCGGATTTAGACAATGGGACACCTTAGTCTACTCCCAGTTATGAGGCCCCTCTCGTACAGGGCTTGGTCGTGTGTTCCCGATGTTCCGATAGTTTTTTTTGTGCGTTTAGGTTTCTCTTTCACTTAATATATATCATAATCTGACATGCTTAGCGTTGAGCGTCAGTTCCGGTGTTATTTAGATTTTAGAACGTTTGTAATTCATACCGGCACGTTTTGGGAAATTTTTGCGACTTTGACTTGTCGTTAATGTCAGATCCAATGCTTACTATAAACAATTCTTAATTTTTGTAAATTTGTGAATGCTTCCTGGAGTAATCAACGCAGGCGCGCGTGCGAGATCACCTGATGTGTGACGTCACGAGGCGTTGTCTGACGCGAACAGTTCTGAACTTCTGTTACTAATCGTTCATTTTTCAGTTGGTTTTATCCCGGGTGATCCTCAACTACACTAGCGATAAGCAAGAATTGAATATCTATGTTGGTACATATTGCAGTGATTTTGTAACTTATGGTATTTATTGTTTCAGATTTAATAAATATTTACTATAACTTCACCACGAAGTTAACCGTATTCGAAGAGATAATATAACTGGCAGAAGACAACGACTAGAAAATGAGAAGAATACTTCGAATAACTAAATGGTTAGTAATATCAGTTTTTTTATGTTTATTGTTAACTGACATTGGTCGACACGGGGGTTAGTGTTTAAGCTTGTTTTCTATCACACTGCAAATATCCTGCGGAATTGCGTGGGCGTAGAGCCGCCGTCGCTCCAGGAGTGTGTGTACCAATATGGAGGTAACTAATTTTGTTCGCCTACTTTACATCAAGTTGTGTGAAAGGACTGATTTTCATGGACAGGGGATATATTTCACTTGGCTAACACAGACATTCCCAAACTCGTCATAGAACTAAAATAAGGAAAATCTGAATAAAATTATGGCCTAACCCTAACCTGGTACACACACTACGGAAGTACCGAGCCGCCGGACTTTGCAGAACACTTCATGTAACGGCCAGGGTTGCCAGACCCCAGCGATAAAAAAAATCCTGAAAAAGCCAACAATTTTACTAAGTACAAAAGCTCCATGATTTGTCAGATTTTAAACCATTAGAAACGTACTGATGATGATGTAAAGCCGTCAGTTCATTCAGTGAGGCACACAAATAGAAAGTAAAGTTCCTATAGAACTGTAGAAAGTAAAATAAATAACAAGCGGACAGCTTTATTTTACCATTCCATATATACAATACAGGGTGCCGCTTCAGTCTGTCAATATGTAATATACCTACATGTTTCTACTTAAAACTTGTGATATACCTTAAAAAATTCTCCCTATATCGTACTTTACTATTGAATATTTTTTTACTTTTTAAAATTTATAAACCATCAATTTTATTAAAAAATTATCTAACCCCCTGCCGCTCACAGGTGGACCACTGATATCTAATTCAGCAATTTTAGCGTAGTTAATCACATCGTTACTGCAATTGCAGAATTAAACTAAAGCTCACATAATCCATATCGGGCCCAATGAAAATTAAGTTATACAACTATTTTTTGGAAACAGAACGTAAAACTGACGAAATAACACGCAAAATTATAAAAACGAGGCAATGTTTACAACCCTGCCTTTAATATCTGTCTGAGCAGCTGCAGAAACTACAATTATTTCTTATTGGGTATGGTTAAAGAGTTAATGTAACAAACAAGGAAATCGATGCTCCAGAAAAATTCTTAATGTTAAGTAGCTAATAAGTACAGGTAATAGGCTATTTATTGTTCAGTTTTTACACACTAAATATTGTATTTCATATGATTTTAATAATAGACTTGAAAAAGCCAAAAAATGCCAAGAAGCCAAACGAAAATTCTGACGCTTAACGCGTTTGAAAGAAGCCAAAAATGGCAAATTTGGCGTTAAAAATGCCAATATGGCAAAACCGGGTAACGGCATGTTTTTCTGTCAAGTCCCTCCCCGCGTCGGAATTTCTCACGCCCACCCTAGACTGGTAACCGATGAGGGCCGTATAGCTGGATTTGAAGTCGTACTATTGCTTTACTCGCCGGAAAAATGCAAAAAATCCATAACTCGCTTAGGGAATATTTATGTACTTTTTTGATCAAGTAATATTATTTTCTATTGGAACTTATTTACAAATCTAAGCAACAACATTTAGTATCCACTCTGGTGCTGCAAGCATAATACCGTTCGTCAATATCTAACGAATAATATTTGTTATGAATAATACTTCCAACATTTCACAGAAAGCGTAAAAGATCTTGAAAACGAACGAACGAAAAGAAACGCTTCAATGACCAAACAATCGCCAGCTTTGTCACAATATTATTCCCGCCTTTGGATGCACTTCGAAAAATTGTGCTCAAGAAAACTTGGGCATCGACCTAAAACAGGTAATCATTTTGAGAAAACCTACTGCTAATTTATTTATTTGATTTTGTTGAGTCTTTTTTGACTACGCAAATAATTTATTTAAAGTTTGCAGTACAGTATTGTGTTATAAATAAAAGCAGTTACTGTTGTATGTAATTCTGAAAAGTATCCGATGACTCTGACGCACAATTGCAAATTCTGTCGTATATTATATTACCCACAATAGATTACGGCAAATCACGGAATAGCAAAAAGTACTTTTGTAACCGGGCTTTCAGTCACTTGCACCTTGACCATGTTACGCTAACCGAAATAAAGTGCGCTCTTCGCCACGAGTGAAAAGTATTACGGCGAATCCTACATAATTTTCTGTTTTTATTTACAGTCGAAGAAAATCGCGTAAAATTTGAATCACCAACGGTCGATGGCATCAATTTGGAGAATGCTCGACAAAATATCAATTCGATGTATTAACTTCGCAAAAACGTAACATCGGTGTAAAATTCGAACGTCGAAAAAGACGGGCGACGACATCAACCAGCTAAGGTAAGGGCACAATACTCACCATTTGGGTAATGCTCAAAAAACTCTCATCGGTGTGTCATAGTCTCAATGTTGTCAAATAATATTATATTGGGTGCTTTCAAGCTGGCGTTCAGAACAAGGCCATAGTGAAGAACCAGTTGAATTAGATAAATATCAACTAAAATTTTAATGGTTAGTTGGAGGTATACTAGGCATGAGCATGAACTTAAAATGTCCTCTATACCCCTTCGTCTTGTCTTTGTTAATTCATGAACACGTCATGTTAGACCCTGGTGACCAGACTCAAATTTCTCCAATATATCCGAGTGTCATAGTTTGTGTTCATGTTTATTTCTAATACATTCGAATGTCATATAACTCGTGTCCATGTTCATTTTTAGGTCAGCGACTGAAATCGTTTACGTTTTGACTAAGTGGAACATATAGCCGGCGAAACTTTTTTAAGCGGCCCGCAAGAGACTTTGAGATTGATTATGAATGGCGGAATGGGTCAATTACTGGTTTAAAATATTCATCGAGAAAATATCTCTCGAGAAGAAATATATTCAGTTGCTCGCCGAATGGACGATTTTTCGAAAGATATCGAAATCACAAGCAAACGTTATTCCCAATGACCCCGTCCGTGTGTAAGATTTGTGCATATTTGTACAAGAACTAAGTATATAGAAATTACGCAATTATCGAACACCAATGATGACAATGATCTCTCATTCGGATCAGGTACTGATGTGATCAGTTTAATATAACGATGTGCAGAACAAAATTCAGCACACAGCTGACGAAGGACAAATGCAGGAACATCGAGTGCCAAAAATTGTGCACAACTATTGGACATTAAGAACTACAATGATCTCGCCTTCGGGGTCAGGTGCTGCGGTAGCAGTTTAAACAAATTACGTTGTGCAGAAGAAAATTCAGCTATCAGATGATCACTTGCAAACTCAACTTCGAGTTGCCAACAGATAACACCACTTATGAACAATAAAGACTGACAATGATCTCTCCTTCGTGATCACGTACTGCTCTTAGCAGCTTTTACAAATAACGAACGCTGTGCAGAATATTGCAAAATCAACTACGAGTTGATGAAAACTTTTGATGACTGTGTGAGTCATTAAAGAGTCAGAGTCTCCATCAGTTTACGTTAGACAGTTACGTTAGTTAGACAGTGTAGAGTCCCTGATCTTTTTGTACGCACCCTTCATGTAGAATCAGGGCCATCGGGCGAAGAGAGAAGTGCGAAGGGAGCGAAGATGTGAAGATAGGACACTTCGCTAGAGGATCTTCACTTGTATGGTACTATAAATCTTTTTTCGTCTGTCGCTTCCTTAGTTAGACAGCAAGGGATGACTAGATAGGGTTCGACGGACAAATCTAGTTTAGGACTTGATGCTGGAGAATGTCTCTTTTCCCCAGGCATTCTTGATAGAATCCATTTTTGCCTTCAATGATTTTGAAATGTGGATTATTCTGTGCTAATAGTAGCACCGATAATAGCTCTTTATGAGCGTTTTATAATACGTGGATAAATTAAATTCTTGTGGGAGTTCATCGCCAGTTTGTTATATTGATCCACTTTATATGGCCTTTGACGAATTGTCACAATTTGTCGATGCCAGTTTTGAATACTAATTGAGATAGGGAAATAACCATTTTTTTCTTTTAATTAATAATGCCGAAACCTTTCTGTAATTTATCAATTTTGAGAAAGAAAAAAAATGCTCCGTAAATTTGACTGGCCAAGTTACCAAAAGAAGGGTTTCGGCTAGGCTTAAATACTGCACTGTGATGTATCTTTTCTTTAGTTAGATAGGGTCTTAGGTTTTTATTATTATTATTATCACTTAGAGAGGGAATAAGCTTTAAGTCTCGTAAATTAAATCGGCCACCCTCCTGGAGCATTTATTCATCGGATACAGAGGCATAGCTTCTTGTAATCATATTTATTTGGTCGAGACTTTTAGCTTTTTCCCACCTTGCATGCTAGGCTATAACACAGGAGTCCCTCAAATTGAGGGACAGAAGCAGACGAAAGACATCGGAAGGTACATTAGATCCTCTGGTGCAATGAATGACAATAAATTTCAATATTTCAATTTTAACTGAATGAAATAAGTTTGAAAAACAATTTTAAACTCTTTCGTTCGGTTGTTTTGAAATTGAGGTTCAATTTAATGTCATTGGTCATTATTGCACTTCGAGGCAAAGTCTTGGTTTAATATTGACTATGGATTCAGTCTGAAGCCAAGAGTCAATGTTGCCAAGCCCGGTAGCACTAAGCTACTGGTAAGGTAGTTAGACTAGGGTAAATCGTAGTTGAGGACTTTGCATTGTAGCACATACAAATTGTTCGACTTGGCAATATTTTTAACTTACCTTGATTAGAGCAATCGTGCGCCAAAGCAAAGTCCTCTGCTATGCCTTGTAGATGTTGCCTTGGGTTTTCGGCAACGTAGGGTTTTGTAGGCCGGTCAGCTTCCAGCTTCATTGAGTTTAGTACGGCATTTATGAACGGACTCGAGACTGCAATATTTGAGTCGCTGTTATAAATGCAGGGGGAGATAACGTCCGCGCTGCGACCCAGATAGCCTAAACCTCCCTGGTGCTTGCACCATTTAGTTCAGATTTCGTCCGCGCAGAATTCGATAGAGATTTGGTTAGTAAAAGCTGACCTTAAGCAGGTTAGAATATTATAAGGAGCGTTCCGTGTTTTGCAATACTTAGACCAGGTCGGCGCAGAATAGATTTTGTAAAACTAGGACCAAACGTTTGTGTTGCTGAGATGTTAAGGCGGGTGGTTGGGGACGGTTGAATAGTTAGTTCTTTAGCTAGGGTTAGGTAGAGTTAAGGGTGAAAGGTTATTATCACTCGCACTGTTGTCCTCTCTTGGGACTTCAAGTTGGGTTTGATAATTCACTTTTTCACGGTGATAGGAATGCATAGGGAGAACAAATGATGTAACGGTTCCCAGATATCTTGTCTGGGAATTGAAACTCTTTTTCTTCTCGTTGACTTTTAGGCCATAGATTGTGCAGATTTTATTCTTGTACTATGGTTTTGCTTATGTGGCAACACCATATTTATACTTTATAATGCCGTGCAGTCAAATGCAAGGCATTCGTGTTTTTTCGTGGTTATTTGCCTTGAGAGGCAAAAATCATATTCATGTCGTGCGAATATATCGCAAGACATTTTTTTTCATCTATTTCCTTTCCCAGTGGTTCAATTGCCTTTAGCGGCATAAACCATGTTTATGTACCACAGTGTCGTGCAAATCAAATGCAAGACATCCATATGTATATATTTTCCTTTTTTTTTGTATACCATTGCCAATTGCTTAGCGGCAAAATGTTTTAAGGTGCCATATTGTCGTGCAGTAAAACGCAAGACATCATCTATATGTAGTGCCTTGCAAGCCATTGTACGACGTTACCTATTTTTACATTTTTTCGTCGTTTGATTTCTACGCAATTTTTCCTAGAGTGATATTTGCATTTTATATTTGTTTCTGTATAATCAATCATTTTATGAAGTAACACTGTTTTCATATTTTCAGATATCAACTACAGAAGATGGATATTAGTTATTTTATATGATATTTGCGAAACCTGAACTCATTTCGGCTAAATCGTTAAAAAAGACTAGACGCCTACATGTAGCGCCTTGCAAACTCTTGTACGGCATTACTTATTGCTACATTCTTAGCTATCTTTCTTTTTGTTGAAATGTACTTTTATAAAATGGTCATTTTTCATTCTAACACTGTTCTCATATTTTCAGATATCAACCACAAAAGATGGATGTTAGTTTATTTCAATTACTTTTGCTGAAGGGTCAAATCAATTCGGCAAATTTATACTCCCCTACTCAATCCAATTGAATAATTACTACCAATTTTTGAGTTATTTTTCGTCTATTTTGGCCAAAATATCAACTCAATTCGGCTAATTCATAAGAAGACCAAAGTATTCATTTTTAATCTAAAGCCAATATTTTACATAAGGTAAGTCTGTAGCCACAAATTGTTATTTTATAATTTGAAACTTTTTTAAAATTAAATTTGTCAACTGATTCGGCCCTGAATCCCAGTATTCCTAGCCTGAAAACAGATCGTGAAATTGAACAAAATTTCATCACTCTACTAAAATTTCATTTTGATTACGCAGAACCATCGATGGGCTAAGTTTCTTGCCACTGATGCGATAAGAGTAACCTTGAAATCGAAAAAGTACTATCTGCGATTCTGTCATTTTTAATTTTGGTTATAACTAAATGATATCCAAGATGTACTTAGCTAAGTATAAACGTAGGTACCCTCCTGCATTCGGCCTTATCTGAGCTAACTTGTATCGTCATTTCCAATTTTTCACACCATGAACTTGCATAACATTATAAGGTATTATAATCATCTGAAAATGAAGATGGATATAATTCTTTTCCATTAACCCTGGTTACTATTACTATTCGAAAAAATCAACAAATTTCAATAACCATAAATAACAAGAGCTATGCTCAAATATGTGGACACGTAGCGCCACCCAATGGCAATAATTTTGATGACGTCATAGCAAAAAAAAGTAATAGACTTCTGGAGAAAAATTTTATCTTTAACCACTGAAAATTTCAAAGCAATTGGTCTAGTATTCAAAGAGAAGCGATTTTTTAAAAATGATGGAGAAAAATGATAACAATATTAATATAATATTGAAACGATCGTTATGTCCACTAAACGTGTCCAATAATATTTCGAATTGGCACCAAGTTTATGTTGGAACCAAACAACATGAATTCACTCTTAACTAACTTTCTGTAAATTCCTATCATTCTTAATATATATTAATAGATTACTACGTATAGATTAAGTTGCATGGCAGTTGGAGGTTGAGGTGAAAATGCAATGAAGTGAGAAAGTAATCGACCAGTCAGATGGTCAAGCAAAATTTGAAAGGTTATGTTTATGTTTGAAAGAGATTTTTTTGGAATGAAGTAATGATAGTAAAAAGTAGTAGTTCTTCACCATACTAAAAAATAGATGTAAAATGAAGTAAAATTGCATTTATGAAATTGTGCGGATATAGCCCACCAATACCGTTATCGAGCGGCGACACCCGTAAGTCTAACATTATTTAATACAGAATTAGAAGATAGCGCCCAGCGACCAGAAAAAGTGCGTGAGTAATCTGTAAGTGAGCGAACTTTGCAAGCACGGAGTCAGAGATTTAAAACGGTCGTTGCTTGTGTGTTCAACACTGTAAGAAGCTTCGTAGAGATTGTATAATAGATGGAAGCAAGCATCGCTAGAAATGATAACTAGATCAAACACGCTGCGAGTTGACAAGTTTCAAACAAGTATTAGAGCAAATAAGGATATTAATACAAAGTGGGTGGCGAGTGGTACGGTGATAGAGCGTATTAACGTTGTATTAACACTTTCAGAGGCAAAAAATTTAAAGGTAAAATGCATAAAGTAATAGAGGGCTGGCTGTCAGCTGTGACTAAACTTTGAAGGCATGTTTGTTTCCCATGTTTTAGTTTATTTAAGAGTCACCGGTGGGGAGTCTAGCTTTACTCTGTGTGTTATTTCCGAAAGTCAATAGACAAAATACGAGTCAATTAAGATAAATGGATGAAAGTTCTGGAGGCTTAGCGACAAAGTTGTGGTTGCCTATAACTGTCCTGTTCAATAAAGGAAACGGGTGTGCCGCCAATAAAATGATGAACTTAAATTTGATATGAAATATGAAAATCTCAATGAACATGCCGTAAGATCGGATATCTGACGAACATTTACTGTACGAGGACGATGTTATACTACATTGTTATACTACTATTACACTACTGTTACAGTGCAGGAAGTACAGATATTGTCTAGGCACATAGTTCGACAGAAGCTTTGTGTAGCAGCATAGTATCACCCCTTAGGAGGATAAGATTCGAAAACAAAATGATAGGCTCCACCTTGGCAAACAAGTTGGTGTTGAAGTTTCTTTGCCTATGAAAAACGATTGTTCGAATGACGGACGTAAAGGAAAGCATCTGCATTTCGAGATCGTCTTTTCGGGACAATCGAGATATCCATTGTATAGAACACGAATATTTTTTACACTCGCTTGTAATTACTCGGTGTGGTTGGAAAATGGTTTAGTGTTTACTCTTTAGAAATTGAGAAGGAATAGCCCAACCGAGTGAAATTGTTCGGATGCCAAATATGGAAGACAATAAGACTATAATTTTGAAGAAAATGACTGGAAAGTACCTCGCGTGGAGTTCGAAAACGAGCAGTCATTAGGAAATTTTGTTGTACAACATAGATGGGAATGCACGCGAAAATCTACTGTACGAAGACGATGGACTAAAGCGTCTTTCATCTCTGCAAAATTATTTTTGATCAATTCATGGGATCAAGATAGGCAGGAAACATAGCGGTTTATATGTAGGCAGATAGTCTAGCAAATCTGGTTAGCGATAGCAGCAGCACATTAGCAATATCACATTGAAAACAATTTTTTTAGCTCACACTCATGGCAGAGAAATATGCTGAAGTTCATTATTAAGATACGACTGAGTGACGTCATAGAATTTACACAGAGTCTAATGAAGCATTTGAAATTAAAGATAATCGGGAGATCCATTATGAAAAACACAAATATTTTTCACTCGCATGAATAATAACAGAGTTTTACCAGAGAATGTTTTTCGTGTTTTCATATCAATGCTTGGAAATAGTGACGGCCAGGACCGACAGATTGAAATGGTTGTATGGTAAGAAACTAGAAATGGAAAGTGTCAGGCGTAAAGACAACGCGAAACTGACAGATTCATTGCTAAATTAAATGGTTGAGTTATTTTGTTTCCGAATCATATTTGAGGAGAAGAAACATTATATTTTCAATGATTCAATTGATTCAGACCCAAACGCAATTTATCAACATCTGCGAAAACTCGAAAAAGATCTTGACATGTCTCTTGAAATAAATCCTTTAGGGACGCTTCCACATCTGATGCAAGGAAAATTTTGAACATTCGGTTCAGCAGATTGATTTCAACAAATACTCCAAATGAGTCTACACGTTTAAAGGAACTGTGTGCAAATGGGAGCAAGTTTTTCGTCCCAGCAAGAATACAAAGACGAAGGGGTTTATGGTCCCATAGGCACGGGTAATACGGTATCAAAGGATTTGTGATATTTTATTTCACTCGTGCAGTTTATTCCTCACGCTCGGTTTCTTCATTTGTGATCTAAACCGATGCCCAAATTTTTCTGTTTTGTCAAACATGAAGACTTACTGCAGTGTATCGGCGTAATAAACTCATTCAAATTTGTGCCCAACTTTTAATAATACATGCGATGAATGCATAGATAGAAGCAAAGATATTTCCCAAAAATGACTAAACCGAACATTTACAACAAATGAAATTATGACAGTGGTTAAACAAGAGAATGTAATATTGGGCCTTGACAACAACACTCACAACAGAAGCTTACCAAAGCTACCCGTACGCCCGTTTCATCAACCATTCTTTGAATCTTATTACTGAACAAATCAGACTAAACTATGTAAATTGGCTGCCTTGAGCCCTAACGTATCTAATTAAGCTCTGTGTGTTGTTGTAAGTATTGTATCAGTACCGTCTTCAGTGCCTTAGTGCCTTATCTCTGTTCTAACATAATAATAATATTAATAACGTACTTTCTCGCTTTTCACAGATTGGAATATCTGGAAATTGGAACAATTGAATTGAATTATTGTAGAAGGATTGTAACGTCGATCCCGCTGCACGTACAATCGCAATAGCTTGGATGAGAAGCCATTTGGACGTTTTTCTATATCTGTACCTAACTATCCACACAAAATATAAAAATAGATTTTGCACACGGTATACCAAACCTTATTATATGCAAGTATTGAATTATTGGTTGCATTTGTCCCTAACGTGTTCAAGCTCTGTGTATTGTTGTATTAGTACTATCTACAGTGCCCTCTTCCCAAGCATTCAAACTGGATATAAATATAAATTTGACTAACGTGTTTTCTCACTTTTCACAGATTGTATTGTTGTCATCGAACATCATCGATTTTATTATTGTAAAAGAAGTAAAGTTGTGAAGAGTAAAGTCAAGCCCGCCTATGTACAGCATTTCCAATGACCTAGTTGGGAAGTCCTCCAAATGACGATTTGGACAGTTTTTATTCCCTATACTTAACTATCACTACAAAATATAAGAGTTTTTCTGCATACGTTCAAACTAATTTTGGGATCTGATTTTTAAGTGGATAAACACCAGATTTACTTGTTTATTATATTTACCGTGATTTATGGAATATGCCCTTGAAATAGGTTTATGAAAATTGACTTCGAATTTAAAGTGGCATATTGTTACATTCAAGTCTTGAATACATTGCTTTGTGCTTATTGTTAATCCGAATAATTTAAATGCCATTTCATTTCCACAAGGTGTATCAGTAGAAAAGCCGAAGCATATTAAGTAAGCGCTCCACCGATGAAAAACCTTACACAGCGTGCTGTCAGAGAAGTGATTTGGCAAAGTGCTGAGCGGAAATTATGCTCGTTATTCATATCATAAATAAGCAAGTCTTTTTAAATTCTCTTATTTTGCATGTTGATAATTGTGTGGTAGTTAGGCCAATGAACCAAGATGAGACTTTGCATGTTAGGCCAATGAACCGAAATGAGACGTTGCATGTTAGGCCAATGGTCCGAAGTTAAAGGACGGAATATTATACAGAAAGCATGCCGAGTTGAGAAACCGTACATCCAATGCCATCGAGTGATAACAGAAATTCACTTTACACTTTTTGTTATTTGCGTGTCTGATAGTTGCATGTTAGGTTCATTGCATGCCTAGCTCCCCAAAATTGGCGGGTGAAAGCAGACTGAAGAAACTTGCTGGGTCAAGAACTGCCGCCGAAGCGCTCAAATGAGGGACAGAAGTAGACTTTTATGCTTTTTTATTTTTATTTGCGTGCCTGGTGATTGCATGGTAGTTAAAATGCTGCATGTTATGTTAGCAACTTGAAGGACAGAATGGTGAGAAGACTAAAGAAGCCACTGAATACAAAAAGTCGCGTTGGAGTTGAAGCAATAAATCCTTGAAAATGCGGATGGTAGCCCTGGTCGAGTGTCGCTGATCGAAATGATCCGGCGAGTGTTTTCTATCCCGCTTTCTTCAGTTGCACAGATCCATAGATCCCGAAGTCTAAGAAAGGTTTGAGATCTTGAATAACTTTGAATGTTAGATTATCGCATGTTACCTCCATATACAGCTGCATGTTAGATTAATGCGTCTGATTTAATAATATACTTTTATTACATAAATATTGAACTCGTCTGTACCTTCTTCATTTCATATGATTTCATGAAGCTTAATAATACAATTGTACAAGACAATACAAGAATATACCGACAAATATTTGCTTCTGCTAAATGTTATATTTAAACATTTTCGTCGATACTTCCAGATTACTGCGAAGCGTTCTTCGAACATGTTCGATATGAACGAAAACTTATCATTATAAATCCAATAAGTAACTTTACTAGCAGCTGGAGCATTGGAAAAGCTTGTTTGCCGATGCCTACGATACTTATGTTGAACGGAAATGCTCTACGTGAAGGTATCTTGTTGATGACGAATGCGTGACTAAACTATGTGGAAGGTTGAAAAGACTCGTTGTCGTAAGAACTCATTTTTATTTATTGGTGAATTAACCAGAATTTAGCTTTGTGATTTCGAGCTGTTTTGTGGAACCATTGTTAAATGTTGAAACAAGATACACAAACTTGCTGAGCATATAGAGAACAACTCTGCACAACGTAAGTTCACAGTTATCTTCAATTTTAGTTAACATCCGTGAGATCATACGGCTTTTATGGTTGCGTTCACTATTCTGTTTTTCTTGCCAATGTTTTCAATGTCGTGTTTTTTCTAGCCATTGTTATTTAGGTCTCATTGGCCATCGATCATATTTTCTCAGATTGGGTTAAAAATTCTGGTTTTCTTGGCCCTTTTCTTTCAGGTTTGTTGACCATTATGTTTTTTTCCGACCTTAGACAATTGTCTTGTTGTGTTGTTGTTGTCTTGTTTGTGGACCATTCTGTTTTTTAACCCCTTTCCTCCAGGTTTGTTGACCATTCTATTTTTTCACCCTTTTCTTCCAGGTTTGTTAACCATTCTAATTTTAACCCTTTTTTCAGGTTGTTAACCATTATATTTTTTTTAACCCATTTCTTCCAGGTTTGTTCACCATTCTATTTTTTTAACCCTTTTCTTCCAGGTTTGTTCAGCATTATATTTTTTAACCCTTTTCTTCCAGGTTTGTTGACCATTCTATTATTTTAACCCTTTTCTTCCAGGTTTGTTCACCGTAATATTTTTTAACCTTTTTCTTCCAGGTTTGTTCACCATTCTATTTTTTTAACCCCTTTTCCCAGGTTTGTTGACCATTCTATTATTTTTACCATATTCTTCCAGGTTTTAACCTTTTCTTCCAGCTTTGTTGACCAGTTTATTTTTTAATCTGTTTCTTCCGGGTTTGTTGACCATTCCGCTTTTTCTGACCATTGTATTTCAGGTCGTGTTGGCCATTCTGGTTTTCTGACCATTGTTTTTTTAACCATGCTTTTTTTCGACCATTGTCTTTCAGGTTTGTTGACCATTCAGTCTTTCCGACCATTGTTTTTCAGTTTTTGTTGACCATTTTGTTTTTTCTGACCGTTGTCTTTCAGGTTAAGCTGACCATTCCTTCAGGTTTGTTGATCTTACTTTTTATGGCCATATTATTTCAGGTTTGTGGGCCATTCTGTCTTCTTTGCACCCATTGTCTCTGAGTGTTGTTGACCATTCTTGGCCATTGTTTTTCAGGTTGAGTTTACCATCCTGCTTTCCTAACAGTTGTCTTTCATGTTCACCATTCTGTTTTTTATCCAAATTTTTTTTTCAGCTTTTTACCAAACATTCATTTTCTTCAACAATAATTTTCCCAAATACAGGATCGTTAAATTTTCGACAATATAGCTAGCTAGCGCTATTTCCATATGAAAGAATATTTTAAACCTATTTTAATCTAGATAAAAGCCAAGAATACTTTTTTTTTGTGCTGACACTTAGATAACTGGACGCATTATGGACGATGAAACGGTGATAATGATGCCCAATGAAATATTTGCAAAAAAGCAATAAGACAAGATGATTACTTATGGGCAGCTGAGAGAAAACTTGGATGCCTAGGATTTTAAAGGGGTTTCGTTCTGAGAAAAGAGTTTCCGCAGAAGGGTGATCAACTCGGTAATATGAAGAAGTATGATAATTTAGTTTTATTTCGTTTAAGAATTTTAAACTTGAAGTCGCCAAAATCTTTGTCAAATTGATATTAGCTGCAATTAGATTGTAACCGATAACCAACAATTTGAGAAATTTTTAAGGACTTCATGACTGGGTGGTTTAAATTACTTGATTCAAAACTATATTATGCTCTGTTTTTCAGGCGGATAATTTGGTCGAGTGACATCCATCATCATTATAGGAATGTACAGTTGAAATAAACGTTATTCATAAAGTGGTACACTTCTCTACGGACACACGTTAGTAAGTGAAAATTTGCTGGTTGAACTTGGCAGGCCTGGTGAACTATAGTACTTACTACAAGTACTTTTCAGGGCGCTCCAGAAGTGTAGGTATCAATATGGAGGTAAATAATATTGTTCGCCTACTTTACATCAAGTTGTATGAAGGGACTGAAACCCTATGGGCAGGGGGTATTCATTTGGCCAATACGAACAGTCCCCGAACCCTTGATAGAACTAAAATAATCGCATATCAACCGGAAAGCTGAAGGAAAATCTGAATAAAATATGGCCTAAGCCCAATTCGTATTTGCCCTGGTACATATACTACGGGAGTTCCCTTATTAGTGAACGAGGCCCAACAATATTTGCATACGTTTTTTTCCTTCTGCAACTGACTACGTCAGCGGTTCCCAAACCTTTTTCTAAGTGCGACGCAAAATTAGCTGGGAAAAATTTACGGCGTAGTCGCACGAAATTAAGTTGCTGCTTTTTAAATGTATTCGTAACGACGACGTTTTTTAGTAACATCGGGGTCGGAACCAACCAAAAAGTCTGATTTCGTGATCGAATGTGTACTTTAGGTTCGAAAACATGTGTTACGTCATTCAAATTGATGTCACAAAATAGTTGGTCCACCTATAAGGAGTTTTTCGGTATTGCTCTACTCCAGACAACCTATCGTCGTTATACCTTTGCGATCTTTATTAGGTCACTGGCTGCGTAATTTCTAGATTTTGTAGTCCAGTGAGGGTATTAAATTGACACGTCATAAAATTGATGCACTACAGAAGTGCTCATACTATACAAAGTATTATACAAAGCCAGACTCGAGGTTAACAAAACGTTTGTTTAACTTAAAACCACCTTCAAATTTTTACAGAGTATGGAAGAACTACACAGTCGATGTGTACTGCATCGAGCATCATAAGAGCGTTTGATCCAACTGTTATAAACTGATAGATTTACACCAAGACGGCTGGTACCTGCCGTTATTCAAGACTGAGGAAGGTAACAAAGTAATTATCTATGAGTGATATTTGTCTTAATTGTAACACGTGGCTATACTTATTTTTGTTATCACTCCAGAGCACAAGGTCCCTATGAAATATACAGGGTGTCCATAAAGTCTTTTAAAATTGCAAAGAGAATTTATAGATACCATATATTGTTTTGGCCATAACAGATGTATTAATTTACTTAAAAAACGACAAACCTGGTTAAAAAATATTGAGAACTGACTCCATATAATGAAATTGAAACTGTAAAAGGACTTTATGGATACCCTGTATAGTATATACAGTAAGCAGCAAACACAATTACAAACTAAAAATATAAGTTTAAATCGCAAAGGAGATTCATAATAGTTATGTCAATTTCTACATAATTTGAATACGAAGTTGGCTAGAACAATTAATTTGAGAATCTGTTCAATGCAGTTCTTAGCCTTGAATGTTTTGTCACGGTGGTCGTAAATTCTCATACTTGTAATTATACATGTTGGCACAGCACAAAAACTTCTTGCTGAACATGATTAAATTATCCTGATGCCAATTTAAATATATATTATTTATTTTCAGATCCTCTCAAAGGCATCGTGTGTTGCTCTCCCATGATGCAACTCAGATGCCCCAATATCAGCCGAGATTTGGATAATTTTATAATCGGTGTCACATCGGACTATTATTATTCAATTCAGTCTTCAAAACTCAACTGTGCCAAGTCGACAGTCAACCTAACCTGTATATGTGTCACACTTTATCGTACAAGTTCAGCAGTGTTTCCCTTGGCGGATCAACAGTGTTCCCCGTAATGGATCAGCAATGTTCCCCTCGACTGATCAACAGTGTTCCCTTGACGGATCAAATCAACAGTGTTCCTTAGACGGATCAGCAGTGTTCCCGTTGACGAAGAAACAGTGTCACCGCTGACGAAGCTACAGTGTTCCTATTGGCGGATAAATAGTGTTCCCATTGGAGAACAAAAAGTGTTCTTATTGATGAAATACTTGGACATATACTTGTGCTAACAATAGATAATGCAATACAGACCGGACCAGTCATTATAATCCAATCTGTGTGAGGGCGATGGACGAATGTTTGAAACATTGGACTGGCTATGTTTGCATTCCTGACCACAGAAATATCTAGTGTGTAACAAATTGGGGTTGCCAATGCCGAACCAGCAAGATCTGGTGCTTACAAAATATAGCAGACCTTCACATATTACAGTGGCAGTGCCTTGTTTTCAGTTGGAGACTTGTATAACGCCACATGAAAAAAGAACTTCCTGCATTTGCATATCAGGGTAACAAACTGACTGGACAATGTCGAACCGGGCTGATCCCGGCAATTTTAAACTGTACTGCGTGAATTTTTACGAGCTAACAAGAATTTCGTGCAATATTTCATTATGTTTATGTGGGTGCCGCTGCTCGATAGCAAATTTGGTTTCTCGCAGTAACCCTCGCCCTGAAATGCTTTTTAATTATTTATTACAATTTGTATATCAAGTGGGCTTTCAGTATGGTGAGAAAATATCCCGATTATTATGAGGACCGTTTCACCACGAACGCTTATGAAGCGTGTTACTGGATGGCCGTGTTTATCTTTAGTGAAATAACCATTGAGCCATTGCTTTGTGTTTCCTCTTTTTTCAAATCTTGCTGCTGCTGGCGTATGCATTGTATGCATTTCCAGATGCTTAAAGTATTTTTGCGTTCATTGTTTTATAAATTTTTGCTTTTTATTCAAATGAAACTGCTGTAGGGTTGGGGTGGGCTTCTAACGCCGAGCTGAATATAGCTAAATTAAGGATTTCTTGGGCTTTATTTGCTGAGTTCAGCTCTGCGTATGGTTTACAGAATTTTCATCTGTTTTATTTGTGAACATAAATGTTTTTAGCATTAATTTTAGTAATAAACTGAAACTAGGATTCGGTTGGAAACCGAAGACTTATCGATCGGAGGTTAGGGGATCCTCCAAAACAGTGGTCTTACTCCATAGTGACACCGTGTGTCCAATCACTAATTAATTAATAACTCGCTAATTATATGACATAATCCATCCAAAATCAACAGGCTTCTGAACCGAGCTATGATGAATGCACATGCAAATCTGCAGCAGATCCAATCTCACTTTCGTGAGATATTGCGTGCATCTAACACACAGATATACAGACGGACAAATACCTATCAACACATTTACCGATCAAGATCATTAAGTAATAAGCAAATTCTGCATATTTTCTGGTATCGAACAGGCCCATCAAAGAGCCAGATTAGTGAATTCTCTACAACCCCTGTGAATTGTGAACTCCCTAGCCCAGGTATCGGCAACCATCTGCCCGCGGGACAGATCCGGCCCGTGGAGTGAAATAATCAGGCCACAAGCAACAGTCACTCATGAATCATGTTACTGGATGGCGTGTTTATCGGTAATTTGAGCAATTGTTTTATATTTTCATTTTCCCAAATACCCTAGCGGCTGGGATTCTTGGTGTCAACCCCAAAGTATCTGATTCAGGGAGAAATTTTAATTATGGCACAGCCATTGTGTTCCTCCCAGCTACTAAGTAAAATGTGTTTTGCCTTTTTTGTTTTATAAATTTCAGCATTTCTTACATATATGAAATTGCTGTAGGGTTGAGGTGGGCTCTTTGCGCTGAACTGAACTGAGCTGAATGTTGCTGAACTGAACTGAACTGAATGTTGCTGAACTGAACTGAATGTTGCTGAACTGAACTGAATGTTGCTGGCTGAACTGAACTGAATGTTGCCAAATTAAGCTCTGCGTATGGTTTACAGCATTTTCCTATTCTTATCAGTCAACAAATAAATGTTTTTTTGGCTTTAATGTTAGTAATAAACATAGGCAAATTGTGTATATCTTTTGGTATCTGGCAGCCTTACATCGAACAGGCCCGGCCCTAACCAATGCGAGACAGATCAGAACTCCTTAGCACAGGGGTCGGCAAGTGGAGTGAAATAATCAGGCCCGCGACGCTTCACAGATTTATAGTAACAAAACTACCGTTTTACATTCTTTACGTAACAGAATTCATTGTGAGATACATGTAGACTAAATTATATTACAACCTACTTAAGTATTTAATTCACCATTATTCGTTTAATGAGCCTATAATTTATTTATAATTAGACAATTGGCAACAAAACGCAGACTAGTCGATGCTTAGTGCAAAGGGTTTAATGACGCCGAAAATATTCAAATTGAATTTTTTGAGTTGCAAAGCAATGAGGAAACAAATTTATATTCTATTCGGGAGATGTATCACTGCTTGATTTTTATGAAAATTATCTTCTTGAAGGAAATCTCTATTCAAATTTGACAAACCATGCGAATAAATTTACGCATGCGAATAATTATTTTCGGAAATGAACATTGCAAAGAACAAACTGAGAACTCGGGATTAGTATTTCCCATTTGAAAATGGTTTAATCTTAGCTTTCACCAGTGTCCCATTTAGAAAATGTTTCTCATTTAGTGATGTCGAAAGCGTATCAAGCGTGATGCAACAAAGACGGTCAAATTAAATGTCAAGTCATACGTAAATTTTTTCTTTAAGTAAGACGACTAAGTTGAGTATACGAGTTGTTGCAGTTTTTGCGCGCTGCTTAAAATTTCAACTTCTGATCTATGTGAAGAAATTGTGATTCATCGGCCATCCGTTCGGTTGGTTTTTAACTTTCTAAAATATGTGCGGCCAGCCTCGACTCGATCATTTATTTGGCGCGAAGTGGTCTTGTTTGTAATTTTGCTAAATTAATTTGTTAGCATCGCTGATTACATATGTTCTATCGAAGCTCATGTCCCCTTCCTCTTTTAAGGGGAAATTAAGGGAGTGGTAAATATTTTGCTATTAGCGATAAAACTTTTTGTAACTTATAAAAATGTGCCATGTATTTCATAGGACATCTACACTGATAAATATGCCATATTTTATATATTTAAATACTACTATACCCCCCTCGGTTAGAAATTACAGTGTGGTATCACACCAAAAAAATTAGGAGGTGCTTTTCTCACCCAAGGTGTGATAAATTAGAGATAGGCGATGCCGTTCAAATGAGGGTAGCCCCATACATATCGTCATGTCTTGTGACTTCTTTTTAAAAGGCCGTGTTTAAAGAAAAATGCGGCAAAGCTTCGTTTAAAATATATGCGTTATATCGTTTACTATTATTGAAATGGCATTTCTTCAAACTTCTGGCAATAATCAAAGTACTGCATTCTAAATACATAAACAAAAGACTGAAGGTGGTACAGGCATTAGTTTATGATTACGTAGGCCTAGCTAATTTTCTGTTTTTCTTGATGCGATGCTGCGGTGTTTTGACAGAAGAGAATGCTGCGTGATTAAAAAAAGCCGAGATTCTTTAAACCCTATTATTCAAATTTTCATACCAAACGATGCAATAGGTTTATATACATGTAAATATTGAACATATGGCGCTTAAGAAGTATGTGTACCAATATGGTGAACTTCATTCATTTTGTATTGGTATTTCGTCATGGGCTTCGTTAAGTACTGATAGTGGAAAGATATATTGCTCAATTAAAACGAGATATGGTTGGTACTTATTGTTGCTAGGCTGTTTGTCGAATGCCAACCTAAAATATCTGACGATTTGGAAGTGTGTGTACCAATATAAAGGTAACTTCGCTATATGATGTACTTATTATTTTTTTTTTCAATTTTCATTTGATTTCAACATTTTGCTGTTCACCAAACTTTTCAGCAAACTCGTTGCTTATTTGAGGTCTTTACAGAACAGTAACAATACGAGAACTTCGTGTCCATATAATTGAGCATTGCACTCTTGTTTTTTGTAGTGTCTGGTGTAATTGAAATGACAATATGTTTTACAGAGGAATAGCCACTACCGGCCCATCCACCAGTAAAAACAGTTCATTTCATTCAATTTTAAACGGAACAGTAACAATACGCGACCTTCGTTTCCACATAATTGAGCATTGCAATATTCTCTT